TTTTTTATCGTGTTTTAAAAGATTAAGTTACATTTTAGATATCATATTTTATTACATTATAGCGCCAAGCCGCAGGAGTATTTAGATATATATGATTTTGTATTTTTAGTTTTATATTTAATTTTGAAAATAATTTACACCAATTTTATATGTTTTGATTAACTTATATACGTTTTATATCATACATACAATATAAAACTAAGTTTTTGATTACTCGAGAGCTTTAGATTACCTGAAAACTTTTTACTATCCGAGAGTTTTTGATTACCCGAGAGCTTTTGATTACCCGAGAACTTTAGATTAGCCGAGAACTTTTCATTATTCGAGAGCTTTCGATTACCCGATAGCTACCCGAAAACTTTTGATTACCCGAGAGTTTTTGATAATCCGAGAAGTTTTGATTATCCGAGAAGCTGCAGAGAATTTGTCGTATTTTTTATCGTGTAATGATCAACTCTGCTGCATGAGTTTTTTTATTCTGGTTTACCATTATCAGTGGTATTATAAAGTTGAGGAAAATTAAAATTTATTGGTATTGTAATTACGAATCTTGGTCATACCCGAACTTTCCCCACTAATATCCAACTTTTATAACTATTGATAAAAATTGATCTTGTTCATATTCGAACCTTACCCGTTAATATCCAATTTTTATTTTATAGAAAAATTTTGGGTAATAGTTTTTTGATACCCGACCAACCTTTATATCTATCTGATTGTATTTTTAATTACGTATATAACTGTTTGGATTACAACTACATGATCTTGTCCTTACCCAAACCTTACTTGCTAATATCTAACATTGATTTTACGGATTAATTTTGGGTAATAGTTTTTGATACAGGACGGACTTTTACATCCATCTGATTATATTTTTTATCATGCAAATAACTGTTTGGTTTACAATTACTTGTTTGTACCCAAACATTACCTGCTAATATCTAACTTTTATTTTATGGATAAAATATGGTAATAGATTTTAATACCCGATGACCGACCTTTACATCCATTTGACTGTATTTTTAATTATGAAAATAACCATTTGAATTATAACTACATGATCTCGTCTATACCCAAAACGTTATCAGCTAATATCCAACTTTTCCTTTATAGATAAACTTTGGGTAATAGTTTTTGATACCCAACCGATTTGCTCATGTGCTAACGCCGTGGTTTGATGTTTTTTTCTTTCATAGATTTAATTTAATTTTAGAAATTATTTATTTCGATCATAACTAAAATTGAGAGTCATGAAGGATATTTGAAGAGAGAAACTAACTATATCCTTTTTATCGTTGTATCATTTGAAAACGGTAATTTTATGTTTATAAATTATTATTATTAATTTCAACTTGGAAAAACATAAAACAGCTTCTACGCCTCAATTTTTTTTTTTTTTTTTTTTATTGTTTTAATGTCATATATAGATATATTTTTTAATTTTAGGAAATGATCTTGTCAGTACCCAAACTTACCCGCTAATGTCTAACTTTTATTTTACAGATAAATTTTGGTAATAGTTTTTGATACCCAATGACCGACCTTTACATCCATTTGACTATATTTATAATTACAAAAATAACCGTTTGAATTATAACTATATGATCTCGTCAATAACCAAAACGTTATCGGCTCATATCCAACTTTTACTTTAAGGGTCTAAATGGTAACCGCTGATTGTTGCTGAATGCGGAATCTGGCTGAATTAAATGAAGACTTTTTGCAGAATCTGGCTGATTAGTTAGTAATATGAATGGTAACTGCTGAATGTTGTTGAATGCGGAATAAAAAAAATTAAACTATCTATTTCAGAATTTTGTTTTATAATATATTTAAATGTAAAAATTCAAAACAAAATGTTGATGTTAAATTGTGAATATATATGTTTAGCTTTATTAAATCTAAACATAATTTTTTTTTAAAACAACAATCTTTATTATAATTAAAGCATTTACTTATAAATAAATGGATGGGTGATTTGATTTAAATATTCTAAATCTTTTATATAATTTGAAAATAACTCATGTTTTCAAAATTTTGAAACCTAGTGTGTTTATTATATATAAGAAAAATTATATACAATTATTAATCTTTGAGATTTTTTTCATGATAATATAATTATTATAACATGCTTATATTAAAAAGTGAAAACTAATGTTAGTTTTCTACATTCTTTATTTTTTGTAGTATCTTTACAAATTTTCTCTAAATAAATTTATTTTGAATATCATAGTTAATTACAAGTTTTTATATGCAGTAATATAATATGTATTAGTTATTGAAGAAAAAAAAAAGAAATCCTCAACTTTTGTCTTTTTGTAAACTTTTCTATTCAGCTGAATTATATGCAACTGGTGTATTACTACAGTGAATCAGCTACATTCAGCTGCATTTTTCAATTCCTCAATACACCAGTTAGGGCCTAAAAATAACCTTTGGATAATATTTTTTGATACTCAACCGATTTATTCATGTTATAAACTTTGGATAATATTGTATGTAGGTTATTGTGACAATTAACTTAGCCTAGAACTTCAGTCTATTCGGCACCAACTTATATGGTAGAAAGAGTTACATGAACAAATTAACAAATTAAAAACAATTTCTAAGTCTTATCCAAAAAAAAAAAAAAAAAAAAATAACTTACAACATTTTCTTGATTCCATGAACAGAAAATATAGAAAATAACACATACTTGCATTACATTTACTTCTTCATCAATATCGACACCAAAAAGAATCAAAACATCATTCTTATTTGCATAATTATTTTCTCAATAGAAAAAAAAAAAATGAATCAAGGCGATATCTTGGACCGGACTATAACTTTGGATGAGGAACACTTAACGGAAACAAGAGGCTGATAATTTACAAACCGGCTTGGAGCGGATCTCGGTCGGAAACCCTTAGGCATACAACTCTTTACTTCTGTCCCACGGAAAATCTGATTCCTTGGATTCAGTTTCACTGTGTCATCGACTGAAAATGGCACCTTCGACGTGCTTGGAGAGCTTTCTGGTGGTATTAAACGCCCCCCAGCATATAAGAATATAAGGTTTAAAGTGATGATAACAATATGAAATCTTGTGTTGAACATTGGGTTTAGTTTTTTGCCTCTTGACAGAATTACGATGGTGTGAGCCTGCGAGGGATTTATAAATGGATGGAGATATACATGTATTTAGGGTTTAGGGTTCATAAATGGGCTCGTGATCGATGGCTGGAAACAAAAGAGAAGAGAGTAAGTAGGAGATGACAGAGGCAAAATGGTTGGCACTTAGTTGAGATAAAACAAATATACAAAATACGAGAAAGAAAAAAAAAAGGTGTTGATGGGGTCGGAAAGATCAGAAGAAGTAGGGAAGTCCGTGAGTTTCTGAAATTGCAATCAAAAGACAAACATTTGTCTTTGCATTTATGAATTACTATGAGGTGACCCGCGCTTCACGCGGGAATTTATATTATTGGGTTAATTTTATTGTTTTTCCGTAAATTTAATTTATTTCTATGATTTATTATTGTTTCAAAAATATTACACATATTAATTAAAAATAATTAGGGTTAAGCAAAATAAACGTACCGTCTTGTCTCATTGTGTCCCATTTCATTCATTTTCATCATGTACATTCTTTCATCAACGCTCCAATCTCCGGGGAAGAACCTGGTTGTCAAAAGTTGCAGTAGGAAGAGCATCTTTGGTTTCGTAAATCCGGGAAATTGTGAAAGCTTGATGGTTTGACGTGAAATTGTACTCTGTTACTTTTATTTGGAACGTGAAAGTCTTTCCGACAATGGCTGTGATGATTTTCGGTGTCTGTTCTCCTACAACACAGTAAGTGTATATGGTTAATGCCTCTATGACCTATTCTCTAGTTAGACGGGTGGAGAGCAGAGTTGGAGGAATCCTACAGTTATAGCAGCAGCGTCAGAGGCACTCGTGTTTGCATGGTTTGAGTAAATTTCTCCCAATGACTATGCTTTTTCAGCCATGGTAGGCTGTATTTGGTATCTCACATTCCAGGAATGGTTTGTCTTGACAGTATTTGCTCAGGAGAACTCGTGCAAGGAGGCAGGACGGATTTGTGAGGATTCTCCAACTAACTTTTGCCAGTAAGGCATCATTGAAGTTCTGTAAGTCTCTGAAGTTCAAACCTCCATCCTTTTTGGACTTGGTGAGTTTTTTCCCTGTGATCCAACACATCTTTCGTTTTTCATCATTTCCGTCCCACCAAAATCTTGTCGATTATATTAGCTTTGTGAGTGATACCGGCAATTTGAAGCATGTCATTATATATGTTGACATTTCTGCCAGACTGACTTTCGCATGGTCATCTTTCCCGCAGGCGATAGTTGTTTTGTAGACCAGCTTTGAGCTTTCTGCTTAACTTTGTCAACTATTTGACTGAACAGGTCTTATTTCCATCTTCCGAAGTGCTCAGGTAAGCTTAAGGATTTTGCCGGTGCCTCCTTCTTTCTGTATCCCTAAAGCACTCTTAACTTGTTGCTTCACTGAGTTGAGAGTCTTTGCTTAGAAAGTGATTGCTGATTTCTGTTTGTTTATCTTTTAGCCATATGCTGTTTTGTATTTTTAGAGAATAGAGAGTAATTCTTTGCAAAGAGCAGGTGATTGACTCTCGGACTTCTCTTTGAAACTTGTATCCCCGGAAAACGTCCCTCCATCTGAACTCTATTACAGAGGCCTGAGAGCACCTCACTACAGGGGATAAAGATATATGGAGAGAGTGGATCTCCTTTGCGGGATTCCTCTGGATGGTGTAACCGCTCCTTGCGCTAATCCATTGATGATGTAGGTGTACAAGACTGTTGAGATACATTGCATCACCCATTGAACCCATTTCTGATGGAATCCCAGTCTTTCTTATACCAGTTTAACAAATCCCCACTCAATTCTATCATATGCCTTTGTCATATCGGATTTGACAGCCATATACACTTGTTTTTTTGGCCTTTGACGTCTTCAGATAGTGTAGTGTCTCATACATGACGAGGACATTGTCTGAGATGGCTCTTTGCGGGATAAACGCAGACTGGTTCTCCGAAATCATGGCGTTGAGGACTGGTTGTAGTCTCACGATGAGAATCTTAGAGATCATTTTGAAGTAGACATTACATAGGGCTATTGGTCTATAACCCGCTACCTTCTTCGGGCTTGTGATCTTGGGAATTAATGTTTCTTGGCAGGATACCCGTTGAGAAGAACGCCTGTATCTCTGTTATGATTTTCGATCTCACTGTGTCCCAATTCTCTTGGAAATATCCTGCTGAGAAGCCATCCGGTCCTGGGGCTTTGTCCAGATTTATTGCAAAGCATGCTTGTTTGATCTTCTCATGTGTCAGGATTGGAATCAGCCTGTCATTTACTTCCTTTGTTATGCCCGGTTCTAGTGCTTTGAAGACCGTCTCCATCCTCTCTCCTTCTTCAGATGTGAAGACCATACAAACCTTTAACTGAACAAAACATAAATGAAAATATAATCCACGTGGACTTTCTAAAGTAAGTGCTTAAAAAAATGGTGTTGATGAGACAAATCAAGTTACATAAAACTTTCTCCGTTTCATTTGTCGTTTTAGCAATGTATATGGATGTGTCGTTTTAGCAATGTATATGGATGTGTTTCGAGTTAAATATATCGCTAGAACAACAACTAATTTGAAATGGATGAAGTACAATTGATTAAGATTCTTCTACTTTAACATTTAGACCAAAAAAAGAGACTTCTAGTCTTACAAACGGAACTGGAGGCGCTGGTATGGGCCATGCAGAGTATGTTGACACAAACAAAACGAGTGATGAGATTTGAGACGGATTGTTCGGACTTGGTGAAGATGGTGGCTACTGATGTACTTGCATTTTGCATAGTTTTAGTACATCTTTTATGCATCTTTTGCATAGTTTTAGCATCCATTAGCATCATATCTTGTTCCTTTTCCCTTCTTGTGCATTCATAGTAGTTTTAGGTTGCATTTGCATACATGTGCATGTTTGGTCCTTGAAATAGGTCTTTTGGAGCACTTTGGAGCATTGGGACGTGAGGAGCAAGGAAGGACTTGGTGCATGGACGCAGCTCAACTGGACACGCAAAGGAAGAAGGAGGAAGTCATCTTGAAGTCAGCTCGACCACCTACTCGACCATCCGGTCGAGTTCCTCAACTCGACCGGCCAAGCTTCAACTCGATCGAGCTGAGAAGTCAACAGTCAAACCCGAAAAATGTTGCTTCCCCCTTGACTTCCCTTTGACCCTAAACCTAATCCTCTTGTATTTAAAGGCTCTAAGCCACGAAAAAGACAACAATCTTTAGCTTATTTTTGTTTTAGCTTTTCTTTAATTTTTGTTTTACTTTTTGCAACTCTAAGCCTCTCTTTGTGTTCTTGAGCTCTTGCTCTTGAACCTTAGATCTGGCTTATTTCCTTTGTATTTGCACTTGCTTATTTCAATAAAAGTTCTTTAGTTTCATCTCTCATTTAATGTCTATTTCATTGCATTTGATTGTGTTTTCATTCATGTGTAGTGAGTAGTTCCTTTAGGGTTTAAGATGGGCTAGATTAGAGGATCTTATGCTTAATCTCTTGCTTATGTTCTTAATCTAGAAATCTCTCTCTTTTGGACAAACCTTAAGGCTACATGACCACTACCCCTGGCTTGTATGTCATAGGCGATTTCCACATGGAAGTGATGGAAATCGCTTGGAAAAGGTCCACTAAGAGCTCCAATAAACCTTGCTCTCGAAATGGAGTTCATAGGTGTTGGATGGATTAGTTTGAGCAATGATCCTATGCCTCCAAGGCTTGATTCTCACTGGCTAACCCCCTGTTTCTGAGATCTTGCCTTGGTTGATAGCTTTCACCTTGGGAAAGGGTTAGCTAGGCATTGAGAAGCTCAATATCAAGAGATACCTTGATACAAGTTGTTTAAGAGCAAGATTGATTAAGTATAGTCTTCCCCTAGTTGTAAGACCCTGTCTTAGACCCTAATATTCGCATTAGCTTGTTAAAGTTCTGCCTTTATCGCTTTTACTCTGACCCTCAACTCGATCGAGCTTGGTTACTCTGTTCCTACTCGATCGAGCTGCTTGCTTTACTTTTTTTACTTTATGCACTGCATTTCATTTCATTAGGTTGTTAGAGTTACTTATCATCTTATTTACTGTTGCTTGACTTTCTTGTGTTTGCATATTCAAGAGCAACATTCACCCTTTTGGATTGATAACCCTTATACTACATGACTATGATGGTTAAGGGGAATTGATTGATTGTGATTGTGTTGCACCATACCATCTCATCTTCATTTACCACTGTTGCATTCCACCTCATATCATATCATTCATATATCATTTCACACCACACACAAATCCTATCATCAATTTGGCGCCGTTGCCATTTGGGTTGATTTTGTTGCATTTGAGTTTCCAATACACTTGGACGATCAAGCTATCCCACCCCTGTTCTTTGTATTGCTGGGTTTTTGATTCTTTTTGCAGGTGTATGCGAACTCGATCGAGTCGAACAACAGAAGACTTGGTCGAGCTAGATTTCACCACGGGTAGAAAGAGAAGTCAGAGAACTCAGAGGGTACAAGAGAACCTGAGGTGCTTGTTACTGAAACCATGGATGTACCAGAGGGGAATGGAAACCCTTTGGGTAATGGACTCGGTCGAGCTAGGCAACCTCGACCGATTGGTCTAGGAGATGCTCCAAACCGCCATCAACAAAGACAAGGGATTGTCCCACCACCTGTCAGAACCACAACTTTGAGATCAAGCTGGGAATGATCAACCTTGTGCAGAACAAGATGTTCCATGGATTGCCAAGTGAAGACCCCATTGATCACCTTGATGAGTTTGATAGGTTATGTGACTTTGACAAGATCAATGGTGTCTCTGAAGATGCCATCAAGCTGAGACTCTTCCCTATGTCTCTTGCTGACAAGGCTCACCAATGGGAGAAGAGCCTGCCCCATGGCACAATCACCACTTGGGATGAATGCAAGAAGGCCTTTCTTGCTAAGTTTTTCTCCACCGGTCGCACAGCCAAGCTAAGGAGTGAGATATCGAGCTTCATACAGAGGAACAATGAGACTTTTGCTGAGGCTTGGGAGATTCAAAGGGCTACACAAGTCAGTGCCCCATCATGGCTTCAACAATGAGTTTGCTCTCTACTCTCTATAGAGAGATGTTGGACACAGCCAGCAATGGAAACTTCCTTAATCAGGATGTGGATGATGGCTGGCAGCTTGTGGAAAACATTGCAAACTCCAATGGAAGCTATGGAGAAGAGTATGATCGCACCAACCGGAGCTCGACCCACCACTCGATCGAGTCAGAGAGAAATTGAGAGAAAAATGTGAATGAAGAAGTTCAATTTTGTGTCTGCTGAAGAGATGGAACCAGTCCAAGAAGGGGAGGATACACAATTTGCTGAAGTATGTTACATGAGCAATGGGCAAGGAGGCTACAACAAAGGATTACTATATTACAAAGCCAACCCAGCCATGTCTTACAGAAACACTGATGTTGCTAACCCTCAGGACCAGGTTTACCCTCAACAACAGCAAGCTCGATCGAGTCAAGCTCCCACAACATGGGTATGGTCCAAAAAACAACTACCAAGGCCCAAGGGACTTTTCCTGGTCAGCAAATGCACATACCACCTGGCTTTCCCCACCAACCACCCCAGCCTGCACCTACACCTGAGAATGAGCTCAAGGTTGAAACAATTGCTTCAAGGTCAAGCTGATGGTGTTGTGGACACAAGCAAGAAGTTGCTGAAATCAACTCCAAGATTGAGAATCTCAACACAAGAGTGTACTCTCTGGAGAATCATGCTTCTTCTGTTGCTGCTGCTACAAAGCAAGGACAACTACCTGGTAAAGCCATTCAGAACCCCAAGGAACAGTGCAAGGTCATCTTCACTCAAGAAGGACTTGATGAAGAGGAGGATCAAGAGAGAGTCATGGAAGAGTTTTGTTTCTGCTGAATGACGACGAGATTGTTGCTGCTGAGGCTCCTGGAGTCCAGATTGATCAACCTGAAGTGCAAGCACTACCGTAGCCTTCACACTTCACCAGTTGAGCTTGCACAACAAGCTCGATCGGCAGCTCGATCGAGTCTAACTCTAGCTCGATCGAGTCAAACATCATCCGTCCTCAAAAAATATATATATTTTAAGAATTTTATAAGGTCTCTCCAATGTGGGTCTAGAACTTATGAAAATAACTTAGAGATTCTTAATTAAAACTAATATTATTGTTAATCTTAAACTAATCTTAAGAGTTAAGAACTTCATTTTGAGGTTGTGCAGTGCAGTACTCATGCCCTGATTCACTCTTAAGAAATGAACATAAAACAATAAAGAATTCCCAGAAAAAGAAAAACCAAATATAGACGCTACTTTCCAAACAGTGATGTGGTTTACAACATTAAGAAGGATCTATCAAGGGCGTATAGAGAGGAAGAGATCTTTTGGCAGCAAAAAAGTAGAGAGAAGTGGTTGAGAGATGGTGATCGTAATACAAAATTCTTTCACGCATCAGTAAGAGGCAACAGGGGAAAAAAGAGAATCGAAAAGCTTATGGATGTAAATGGGAACTTTCAGAGGTCTGAAGCAGCCAAAGGAGAAGTGGCTTCCGCTTACTTTCACAAGCTTTTCAAATCTTTAAATCCAAGAAGTTTCAACAGTTGATTTGAAGGATTGACCCCGAAGGTGACAGCAAGAATGAACGAGAGTTTGGTCAGAATCATCACTAAAGAGGAGATAAAAGAGGCTGTCTTCTCGATCAAACCTTCTACTGCTCCGGGTCCAGATGGAATGTCGGGGCTCTTCTTTCAGCATTATTGGGACATTATCGAGACTCAGGTCATCTCTGAGGTGCAGAATTTCTTTGAAACAGGAGTGTTCCCGGAGGAGTGGAACTACACGCACCTATGTCTTATTCCTAAAACAACGCATCCGGTAGAGATGTCTAACCTGAGGCCTATAAGTCTGTGCTCGGTCCTTTACAAAATCATCTCAAAGATTTTGGTAAAGAGATTACAACCAATTCTGCCTTCCATTGTGTCAGAGTATCAATCAGCCTTCGTTTCTGAGAGGATGATCACATATAATATATTGATGGCGCATGAGCTGGTTCATAGTCTCAATTCGCATGATCGCATCTCAAAGGATTACATGACGGTCAAATCGGATATGTCTAAGGCCTATAATAGAGTGGAGTGGAGTTATCTTAGAGCGCTTCTTGTTGCCCTTGGGTTTCATGAGAGGGTTTCTGGATTATGAAGTGTGTTACGACTGTGACTTACTCGGTGCTAATCAATGACCAACCCTTTGGTATGATCATCCCTGAAAGAGGGTTGAGACAGGGGGACCCGATCTCGCCCTTCCTGTTCGTTCTCTGTACTGAAGGTTTATCACATCTTCTGCATAAGGCTCAACAAGATGGATCCTTGGAAGGGATTGGTTTTTCTACTCAAGGACCGATTATCCATCATCTTTTGTTCGCAGATGATAGTATGTTTCTGTGTAAGGCAGAGAGGGATCAATGCTTAAAACTCCAGAGCATCCTTACTTCCTATGGCGCAGTTACTGGCCAAACGATCAACTTGCTCAAATCGTCCATCTCCTTTAGAAAAAAAGTGAGTCATGAGGCAAGAAAAGAAGTTCAAAACATTTTGGGTATATTCAGTGAAGGAGGAGCAGGTAAATATCTTGGACTCCCAGAGTGTTTCAGTGGTTGAAAGGTGGAGATGTTGAGCTACATAAAGGACAGTATGAAAGGAAAACTGTCCAACTGGTATTCGAGATCACTATCTCAAGGAGGAAAAGAGATTATGTTGAAATCAGTGGCTTTATCCATGCCAGTCTTCGCCATGTCTTGTTTCAAGCTTCCTCAAGCTACATTCAAAAATCTATCCAGTGCATTGGCTGACTATTGGTGGAGTGCTTGCGAGCATTCAGGAAAGATTCATTGGCAAAGTTGGGAATATCTATGTCTTCCTAAGAGCCTTGGAGGCATGGGTTTTAGGGATATTGGTCTTTTCAATCAAGCGCTTCTAGCCAAGCAAGCTTGGAGGGTCTTGCATTTCCCTGAGTGCTTACTTGCTAGACTGTTTAAGAGTAGATACTTTCCGAAAGGTGAGTTTCTAAATTCCGGGCTAGAGAACAAACCATCCTTTGGTTGGAGAAGCGTTTCTTTTGGAAAAGATTTGCTCTTGGAAGGCTTGGAAAAAAGAGTTGGAAACGGGGCGTCCACAAAGGTTTGGTGTGAGCTGTGGATCGAGAATGGTCGTCGAGCGCCTCTGATGAAAAACCCAAGTGTCAATATTGATCTTTTGGTGAAAGAGCTCATTGATGAGGATAGTAGAAGATGGGACAAAGCTATCCTCGCGGATTTGTTTTACCCTGAAGATGTGACAAGCATTTTGGCGAATCAGCCTGTGTGACGTCAAAGGAAGACTTCCAAATTTGGAAATTCAATAAAAATGGTTGCTATTCAGTCAAATCTGGTTATTGGCTGGCGTGCCAAATTAACAAAGGGGATTATCTTCAAGAAGCGGCTATGGAACCTTCCTTGAACCCGTTAAGGGAACAAATTTGGAGGTTGAAGATTGATCCAAAAATTGAGGTGTTCTTATGGAAATTGCTCTGTGGTGCGATTCCGCTGGCAGAAAGACTGTTGACCAGGGGTATGAAGGTGGATGAGAGTGTCAGATTTGTGGTTTGGAAGTAGAATCAATAAATCATATCATCTTCAACTGTACCTTTAAGACAGGTCTGGGCGCTTTCAGACTATTCAGCTCCTTTGCATGGTAATGAGAAAGGTTCCCTATTTTCTTATATCGATCATCTTCTAGTGAACTTTAAAAACCCGCTTTGGCCTCTAGAACTTAGAAGAAGTTTCCCTTGGATCATATGGAGAATCTTGAAAAATAGGAATATGTTTCTCTTTGATGGGAAACCTTTTGATCCAGGAGGGTTAGTGGAAAAGATTAGGTGTGATGTGGAAGAATGGTTTTTGGCACAGATAGTCTTAGATGAGGAAGCTAGTGCAAATCTTTTGACCCCGGAAGTTTAGAGAGTAAATCGTGAAGACAATGTCTCAGGACCGTGGAAAGCTCCTCCTCAGTCTTGGGTCAAATGTAACATTGGCTTCTCTTGGTCTAAAAGGAACAAGCTGGCGGGAGCCAGTTGGGTCTTAAGAGATGAGAACGGGGTTGTGCTTCTTCATAGTAGAAGAGCCTTTGCGAACTTGAAAAATGCAGAGGAAGGGAAGTTCCTGTGTTTCTGTTGGGCTATGGAAAGTATGAGAAGCCATAGGTTGCAAAAAGTGGTTTTTGAATTGGATGATGTGGTTTTGGTTAGTGTAGTGAATCGCCCTCAAGCTTAGCCTTCCTTTGGGTATCAAGCGGCAGAGTTGCTGTTGTTACTATCGGAGTTTGATGATTGGAAAGTGGCGTTAGAAGGATTGGAGTCAAATAGAGGAGCTAATCTCATTGCTCAAAGTGTCACCAATGATAGAAGGTTATATTCCTATGTGGCTTCTTGTCATCCATCTTGGCTAAATGGTGTGTTTGAAAGTGAGAGAGTTTTATCCTCTAATTGATAGCCTCATTTTTTGGTTAGTCTTACTTTGATTGTTTTGAGGGTTTTGACTAGATTAGATTCTTGATTATTTGTTTCTCCCCGAATTCTTTTGTTAGGGTTCTATGTGGCTTTAGTTTTGGTTAAAATCTTTTGTATCTCTTTTGGAAATCAAGATAAAAAAAAAAAAAAAAAAAAAGACGCTACTAATATTGATTTCAGTGGGATTTTTATCCTTAGTTAAACTCTTTGGGAATTTTACTTAAACAAAAGGGGGAAAAAAGAAAACATGTTTGGGAAATATTTTATTTTATTGGAAACTAAAAGAAAAGTTAAGAGTAAAATTGTTTCCCTGGAAGAAGGAAAAAACTGTTTTCAGAGGAAAGAAAATGTTTTCTCAGGATAGCAAACTTTGAGCCAATCAACAAAACAAAAGTAGCTCATGCTTGTCGCAGTTTTGTTCGTCATCACCGTTCCAAGAATCTGAGGACGAAAGCAATCAATTTACTTCGAGCTCTACAAATAAATCATTTAGCAAATATAGAGTAAACCCTTTTTCTCTCTTCGCTTGCCTTTCTCTCTTTCGTTCTCCAAGGATTAACACTCCCAATTTCTCCGTCTGATTACGAAATTTTCCGTTAATATCGAATACCCTTGATTGAAAATTTCATCTTTTGCGGATGATTCGTCGGTTTTAGTTTTCAGAAAATTTCTGGTGATTTCTAGGGTTTTCATTGAGGTTGGTGTTCTTGTATTTTTATTTGATGGGTCCTTATTGATGATTTTGCAGGTGGTTTTTGAGGATTTGAGGGAATCTTCGCTACTAGAATTGTGTAGACTTCCATTGCTGTTTCGTTAAGCTTCTGAAAAGGTGAATGTTATCACCCTTTAACCTCTGATTTTGTGTTCATTGTTATGTTTCTTTGAACTCTGTAGTTGTCTTTCAATTTGTCAAATATAGTTACCCGAGTGTGTGTTTCAATCAAGTTTCTGTTGATTGAGATCTTCCATGATTTTGTGGGAATTTCATTATCCGATTTTAGGATTTAGGCCTCAAATCATTGATGGTCATTTAAACCTTTAAGTGCCTAGTTTCTACATCATCACTTGATGTGTGTAAACTTTCCATTTTTCATCTGAACATAGAATTTGGTTAGGCAAAACGTCATTGGTTAGTTTCTCATGTAAAGAAATCTTTTTTCATGGTTCTGTGTCTTGGAAATTTGTTTTGGATCCTTAAAAGCTTAAAATGTTGGTTTTAAGGAACACTGTGGTTTTCTTATAGGTCTAAACGGTCTTTAGTTAAGACATCAATCCTATGATGTGTCGAACAATTAGTCAGATAAAATCCGGGCAATGAATTCATATAATGTTTAAGTTAACACTTGTGTTCTTGTAGAATTTGGATGTAGAAAAAGAAGAACTGATTTCTCTATTGTTTATCGAATCAAGGCAACATGTTTTCATTATGGTGATGATCATTATTGACTCTTGTGGTCCAATAATTGTTCAATCTTTTGTGTCCAGCTTAGTACTTTCTTCGAAGAAGGGATGGGAAAAAACATGCCAAAGAAAGTGATGTACATTCTCTGGTCCAACTTTCTTTAAACTGTATGCGTCTTTGCATCGTTTAGTGTGTGTCTACGAGTTTTAGGAATTCGTTGTCTATATTTTTTTTTAATTAGACAAAGCCTTACACTTCACACAGATCAGAATTTTCATTTCGGCTTTAGTGTGTTTCCTTATTCATGATGCAATCAGATTTAGCTACATTAGTTTTGATGGTTTATTCTCATGCTAACTTACTTTATTGCTGTTAACTTATTGATTATAATTGTTTCAGGCACTAGGTGGCGATTACATTTTCAACATGAACAACCAAAGTCCTGTAAGCTAGCTAAAACCTCTTTTTGTCTTTTAAGTAACTTATAGTCTCCCTCGCTAAAGGAACTGTTGTTTTTTTATCTGCATCTAAAACTTAGGAGGACACAACGGTTGAGGGATTTGAAGTACCTGTATCGCCAGTTTCTAGTTACAACAACGTGTATTCCTCAACTGAAGACGAGACAAGAGATCCTCCGGCTGTACCGCCACACCTTCAACACACTCTTTTAGGCAACCCCGGTAGCACGGAATTGGATTCCGTGCCACAGAATGTCGTCCTGAACCACCTCTACATTGAGAACCGGGACGCCCCGAGATCCGTGGTAGCACTCGGTTTCTCGCATCGGTTCAGGTCGAAGTATGTCACTGTGGTGATATACAAACCGGTTCAAAGAAGAGGGAACGCCAATGTTTGATGATGGTGATGCCTCTTCTTGAATAGTGTTGGGATCTTTGCTTCTTTGTGGATTGAATTTGGTTATACAAAACCAAGTCCAGACTTTCTTTTCTTCTCAGTTTCTAGGTATTGAGATCATCTTGTTTGACGTTTATATGAAATGTATCTGCATTTTTATGGCCAAGAATCTGAAATACTTTGGCCTTGTTTGTAATAACTAATAAATCTCTTAGGTTGGGGTTTTAACAGAGTCCAAACATCTCCATCCATTAAAATTCTGCATTTTGCTTAAACTTAAATGATCCAATAACCAATGTTTTTAAAACTGGATTGGGAAGACGAACCAGAAACATCTTATGATCACTGTGGGTCACTGGGTCGATCTAGTACGGCTGTGGATTAATAATCTTTTTAATATATAAAATAAAGATTGTTTATGTCATAAAATACTTCATATCTTACAATAATCACGAACTGATGATTTCCAGTTTTTTATTTTCTTAAGGTTGGAAAAAAATCAGGTATAACGGATCAGATTACTGCCTGGCTCATGGATTTGTCGGTCCGACCGGGCGGATCAGTGTGGCCGGGGTTTCAAACATTGCGAGAAGTGTATTTCTTTGACCGTCAAAACCCGTATAAGCAAGCTGTTAAGCGAATGGCGAAATTTATTTTTGGTCTGATTTTTCTTATAGCACTAGTATAAATGTAACTCCAAAATTACTATTGACCATGATTTTGACTCACCAAACGCATATTAGGTTCCGACCATATGTCTCAAACTTGAAACTAGTAGGCCACACATTTTCTCAAAAAGTTGCACAAATTTTTGATTTTCTAAAATTGGATTATCAGGCTATTTTTGGTTTAAGCTAATCCTAGGGTCCGTCATTATAAAGTTCTTTTCTAAAGGTAAAAGAAAAGAGGAAAAAGAAGAACCTTTTTTTCTTTCTATTTTTCTCTAGCCAATGTACGAAAAACAGATAATAAATGCAATAAAAACTAGTACTATTTCGTTGCCAAAAAAAAAAAAAAAAAACTAGTACTATTAAATCATATGAATGCTTGCTACACTTTTTTTTTTACTTATGTGAACTTTTATAATTTCTTTTACTATTGCATGTTCATTATCTTCTTCCTATAATCCATAGTTTTTTTTTTAAGCCTGGGTATTCGGTTATTTGGGTCGGGTTCGGATTGGTTCCACTTCGGTTCGGATCGTTCCATTTGTTGAATAACTGGTAAATACCCATATATTTTTGGATATCAACTAGTTTGGGTATTTTCGGTTATTTTACCCGAATTCTAAATTTTTTTACCTGAAATATGCAAAAATATTCTCAAACTGTTGAAAAAAAACAAACTAAAACACCAGATTTTAAGTTTTAACATCGAAATCCAAAAGGTTAAACCAAGTTGGAAAATCAAACTCCATAAACTCCAAACATCAAAAGTACTAAAGTGACTTAAAAGGGTGTATTGAAACTGGAATTTAGAGTGATTTATGGTGATTTGTATTAAAATGACAAATTCAATGTTATTCAAACTTGAATTCCAAAAACCCTTTTAAAATCCAGTGTTATTGAACTTGTGATTTCAAAATCCATTATTATTGGAAATATTTTCAAAAGTAGATTTTAAAAAATAGAATTGATTTTAGAGTAATTTGGTGAGATTTCCTTGTTAAAAATGAGAGACTTCAAATCACATGGTTTTAGATAGGATTTTAGAATGACTTAACTAAAATCACCTAAACTTCTATGATTCACATGAAATCATTTTAAAACTTTCTAAAAATCAAATCACCCCTAAATCATTCCAAATCCCTAATTCAAATCACCCCCCTAAAATTTTCAAACCCCAAAGACAAAGAAAAGAACGAAAATGAAAACAATAATTTCAAGTTTCAACTTCAAGTTCAACTTAAACGGCTAAACACAATTAAATTGCTCCACGACCAAGGCTCCATCTTCTGTCACCATCAACAAGATCAAGTCTTCCATTGTTCATGTTCGGACCAAAGCTCCATTCCATAACCATAACCCATTCGGACCATTAAACTTCATTCCATCACCAAATCTCCTGTTATATAAATCCATAAGTCCAAATTTTCTAGTATACGAAACTAATGAACTATAATCACATTCACATTGATAAAACAAAGTAACAAAATCTATGCGGTTTTAGAGAGTTATTTACCTTATTTTCAAGGAGCTTGAAAGTTAAATGCAGGTTCAAACTCTAAAGACAGATGAAAAAAACATGTGATAAAGAAAGTTAAAAATCAAAAGCATAAATCACAAATTTATAAATCAGAAAATAAAAAAGTGTTATGAGAATAGAAATTACCTGTCATTAAAGAATTAATCTTGCAACTCAACATCAGCCTGTAGTTGCTCTTTTCGTATGATTCCTCTTTCATTCAGTTTAAGCTCACATTTGAGCCATTGCTCAGTGCACATCAACACCTCTATCATATAATGAGTCAAACAGCTTCTACTTGGATCTAAAACCCTACCAGAAGTACTAAACGCTGATTCTGAAGCTACTGAAGACACTTGCATTGCAAGTATATCTCTTGCTATGACAGATAGAACTGGAAACTTCCCACTGTTTACCTTCCACCAAGAAAGCACATCATATTCTGTCCCGTACATAGTTTTTGGATTCTCGACATCCTCTTTCAAATACAAATCCAATTCATTCAACTTCTCTTGAAAACATTCTTCTTTGATCAGCTCATTGTAAATGTCGTTCATTCTTTCATATTGTAGACCATTACCAAGAACAGTTTTCTTAGAAACTTCCTCTGCAAACTGACTTGATCTAGAAGATGTTATGTTTGACTGCTTCGATGCACCCGATTCATCACTTCCTTTCTTGTTCAATGCACTGTCATACTCACCAAACAACTTCTTCAAAATAGCAAAAATCTCACCGTTAAGATGAACAGCCTCATGACTTCCTTTTTCATATAGTTTTTCAAAAAAGCCCTTGACACACTTCATCTTCTTGCTCGGATCAAATACACCAGCTACCATCACTAGCCTATTCATCTCTACCCTCTTATCAAACGGATTCCAATACTTGTTTAATTTCCCTAACATTGACAAGGCTTTCAAACGCAATTCTTCATCAGGACCAGAAGTAGCACTTAACAGATTGATGTTGCTAGCCATGGTAACTATCGCATTATATAGCTTGTGGGAGCAAGCAAATTTTGAGGCTGAAAGAACCAAAGTGGCTTTGTAAAAATAATGAGGAATTGGAATAATCTATCAATATTGTCCCAATCGTCTTTCTCTGGTGGTCCAACTCATTCTTTTCCTTCCACAATCTCCTCGAAGTACTTGAGATACGGCAAATCATTAGCCTTGATCTTGTCAAATGCCAATCTGAACTTCAAATAAGTTGAATTCCACCTAGTCTTCACATCTAAAGGCAAGCTTCCTCTTTGTATCCTTCTTGATTCCACATGATTCTCAAATGACTTGAGCCTTGGTATGGAAGACCTCACAAACTGAATACCAATCCGAATAGCATTCACACTGCTGGATATCTCCATCAGACGTTCTTTGACAATCAAGTTAATATGTGAATAGTGATGATAGGATATTGCGATGGTGGTATGAAATGATGTAAATGATATGAGGTGGAATGCAAACAGGGGTGAATAAAGATGAGATGGTATGGTGCAATCACAATCAATCAATTCCTCTTAACCATCATAGTCGATGTAGTATAAGAGGTTATCAATCCATAAGGGTTGTTGCTCTATGAATTTATGCAAACACAAGAAGTCAAGCAGACAGTAAAGATGGATGAATCTAACAACCTAATGAAATGAAATGCAATGCAAAAACAGTAAAGCATGAAATAAACAGTAAAAAACAGCTCGACCTAAGACTCGATCGAGTGGAACAGAGCATTAGAGCTCGATCGAGTTGAGGGTCGAGTTGAAGTAAAAACAGAGGAAAATGCGAATGAAAAGCATAAAGATGCAAACTTTAAGCTATTGAACTAAGATTAGGGTCTAAGACAGGGTCTTGCGACTAGGGGAAGGCTATACTTAATCAATCTTGCTCTTAACCACTTGTACTCAAGCTATCTCTTGGTATTGAGCTTCTCAAGCCTAGCTAACCCTTTCCCAAGGTGAAAGCTATCATCTAAGGCAAGATCTCAGAAACAGGGGGTCAGCCAGTGAGAATCAAGCCTTAGAGGCAGTAGGATCATTGCTCAAACTAACCCATCCAACACCTATAAACTCCATTTCGAGAGCAAGCATATTGGAGCTCTTAGTGGACCTTTTCAAGCGATTTCCCAACATTCCCATGAGGAAAATCGCCTAGACTCATCACACCATGGATAGTGGTTGTGTTGCCTTAGGCTTGTCCAAAAGAGAGAGATTTTAGATTAAGAACATCAAGCAAAAGAGATTAAGCATAAGAATCCTCTAGTCTAGCCCATCTTAAACCCTAAAGAAGACTACTCACTACACATTGCGAAATACATATCAAATGCAATGAAAGAGACATTAAAAGATAAGGAGATGAAACTAAACAACTTTTATTGAAATAAGCAAGTGCAAATACAAAGATAAGCCTAGATCTAAGGTTCAAGAGCAAAGCTCAAGAACACAAAGAGAGGCTTAGGTTTTGCAAAAAGTAAAAAGTAAATACAAAATTAAAGAAAAGCAAAAAAAATAAGCTAAAGAGAGTTGTCTTTTTCGTGGCTACAAGCCTTTAAATACAAGAAGGATTAGGTTTAGGGTCAAAGGGGAGTCAAAGGGAAGCAACATTTTTCGGGTTTGACCATTGACTCCGCAGCTCGATCGAGTTGGCTTGGCCGGTCGAGTTGGAACTCGACCGGTTGGTCGAGTAGATGGGTCGAGCTGGCTTCAAGACGGCTTCCTTCTTCATCCAAGCATGCGCGGTCAAGCTGAGTCCATGCACCAATGTCCTTCCTTGCTCCTCACGTCCCAATTGCTCCATAGTGCTCCAAAAAGACCTGTTTAAGGATCAAACATGCACATGTATGCAAATGCAACCTAAAACTACAATGAATGCATAAGAAGGGAAAAGGAACAAGATATGATGCTAATGGATGCTAAAACTATGCAAAAGATGCATAAAAGATGTACTAAAACTATGCAAAATGCAAGTACATCAAGTAGCACACCTTAAATGGAGAAAGTCACCTTTGAGAATCAATGCATCAGCTCCTATTTGGCTATTTGTACAATCTCTTCCTTGAATAGCTTCATGGTTATGCTGTTAGCTATGGCGTTATCAACAGTTATGCAGAATACTCTCTTGATATCCCACTCGGCCATACAGTCCATAAGAACCCTACAAATAGTTGCACCTCTATGATCATAAACGTTCTTGAATCCGATTATCAGCTTCCTCAGTTGCCACCAAGCATCAATGAAATGAGCCGTTATCTTCATATAGCTAGCTCTTGTATGAGGCGCAACCCAAATATCAGTAGTCAAAGAAAGTCTGTGCGTATACTCCCAAGAATATTCTTCATAGCCTCTTCCTGCTGACAAACATCTCCACAATGTCTCTTGTTGATGTTCTCCTTGAATGAGGCGTGTCCAATTGAGTTTTGTTACAAAAATGTTTCCATCCCAAGCCCTCCACAAAAGCTAAAGGCAACTCGGCTAACACTAGCATCTCATTCGTAGCTTCTCTAACCACTTTGTCAGAAACCTTACAAATCCGGAGACTACCATCTGAACCATCAGGAGTTAACACATTTTGCTTGTTGAACCTTTTAGCAGCTTCCCACACGTTGAATGCCTTACATGAGACCCTATAGTGTTTCTTTAGAATGGATGTGCCATTGGTGGATGGAGCGAGAAACACCTTGTGATAGTAATTACAAGATGCTCTTGTATCATCTCCTTTCACTCTCTCGAAATGATCCTAGACTTCAGACCTTTCTTATAACCACCTTCTTTCTCTTTCCTCTTCTTGCCCTTGCCTTTGTTGTTGTTCTTCTTTGCTGTTGATGGTGTTTCGACAACATCTTCTTCTGATTCTGATGAGTCTGATTCAATTGCTTTCCTCTGTTTGCCTTTGCCTTTTTTTCTTCTTAGCTGGTGGTGGCTTCTCAACAACATCCTCTTCGGAGTCTGATTTAGTAGAATCTTCTCTGGCATATCTGTTATTTGGACTCAATGAAGAGGCCATCTGCATAAAAAAGGTTAAACAACACTCATCATCAAACATATTACATTAATACAAGAGAAAGCCACATTAATACAAGAGAAAGCCATAAACTAGAGATTACATGATTGAAAAAAACAAAAGAACAGAACATAAACCACACTCATATTAGCTCAACTAACTAAGCACAATTCACAAAATAGAATCATAAACTCACAGAGACCACCACGAATCTAGTTGAAAAACTAACAAAATATACAAATCTAGTTGATATACGATTAACAATCAAACATTGAATGAATCAGAAGTTCAGAACTCAGAAGATAACCAAACAAAAATTAAAACAAAGAAAACAGCAATGACAACTCGAAATTGAAACAAACAAGTAAAGAAGAACGAATTAAATCAATTAACGATGAATTAGGTACCTTTGATCGATTTCGAGATGTCTCTGATGGCAGAGAATCAGGAAATGTTGAGAGTCTGAAGTTTCCAGTTTGTATTAATGGGATTAGATTTTGAATTCGAAAAAGGGGGTTTTGGGTTTCGAACTGTTTCTGTCGGGAGCGTTTATGGGTTTGGGAAGTGCAAAGGACTAAAGGTGTAGGCGTGTAGCGACAAAGCCATAAGGATCAATTGTGGTTAGGTGGTTAGGTCTCATAGTTGGTACTGGTTAGTGTTTCCACGGTTATTTTTAGGTTCCCAACGGATCTCAAGATCCGGATCCAAACCTTAAACTAGGCATAGGCATAAAAACCGAAGGACCCGACCGGAACCGACCCGAAAAAACCGGTTTCGGGTAATATCCGTTTAGATCTAAATCACTTGTTGGTTATTTTTCTTCTATACCCATGGTTTTCGGGTCGGTTCTGGTTATTACCCGTTTACCCGTGGGTACCCATTTAGATCGGGCTTGTCTTCTTTGTTCATTAACTTTGAAACTTATGTCTTGTTTTTTCTTTTATTTTTGTCTCTTTGGTGTTTTAAACCTTGAATGTTTGAATATTTGAAAGTTTAAAATTTAAACTTGTGTTGTTTGGTTCTGTCTTATTAAAATCTGATGAAGTTTATTTGGATTTTTATGGTTCAAAAGTGAGAAATTCGGGTAAAATTAGATTAAAACGGGTACAAATGGGTAAAAACCCCAAAAAAATATCCAAATCCGACTAATATCCAAATGTTTTTGGGTATTTCACAGTTATTTACAAACGAAAACCGTTAGACCCGGAACCGAGAAGAACCGACTCGAAACCGACCCAAAATTGTAGCGATTCCTATTTGAATAAATAATTTAAATAACCGTTAGGCCTGGAATCGAAAGAACCGATCCGAGTACCCTTTATGTCCAGGCCTACCGTAAATCACGGTTATGTGAGAAAATTATCCATGGTTATTTATGCACAAAACTGATATTGACCCGAACCTGCTTTTTCGGATCGGTTCTGGTTCGAGTCTCTGGAACCAGGTTTTATGCCGTAGTTTTATTTTTGTCAACAAAATCCACTGAACTTTTTTTTCTCATGCTTTTGTGGGAATGTAAAGTTGAACTTTTGTGCTCGAATATTTTGCAGTCTTCTGCCAATTTATATGAATATTTTTGGAAATTTAGAAAGTTAAAATAAAATTCAAAAGCTATGTGATGTTGGATATATTGTACACCTTTAAGAGTTTAAAACTGACACTGAATTACTCGATCTAGTTTAACTTTTTTCGTTTGAGATTTTCTTTGTCACCACCTATCTACTTTGTTTCTTTTCTTTCTTTAAAGTTAAAAATACAAAAAGTGTCTTTCATTTGATTTGTTGAGACGGAGGAGCCAATGAAGAGTCGAAACGTTTTAACTAGTAATCATAGTTGGTTCTGTATGAGATTCCCCAGTAGTTCATTTCTATTTTTGGTTTTCTTTCTCCTATAAACTAGACAACGATCCGCCAAATATGCCGGAAACAAATAATATTTTAAGTTAATTAAAACATTTTGTTATGACTTATGAATAAGTTAGCAAGTAATAGAAAAACATAGACAACATAGCATACTTTTTCTTCTCACTTAGTCATTTTCTAATTAATTTTATTGTAATTTTAATCAAGTTTTGTGATTTGTTATATTGATTAGGGCGTTGGAGAGAATTTCCAAACACTTTCTAATATTCTTTTTTTTATAAAGGGTTTCACTTTCTAATATTCTTCAAAATTGATTTCCGCGCCTGGACCTAAACAAGACAAAAATTTACCAAAACAATATATAACTATATAAGTGTCAATAGAGAAACAGAAAAGGAAAAAAAAAAAAGAAGAAGAATATTGATCATCAAAAAAAAAAAAAAAAAGAATATTGAAAATGGTGATGAGATAAATCATTTCACATCGAATGGAAAAGTGAGAGAGAGAGGGACCAGATAGTGAAATGGAGGGTTAAGAGAGTTGGTCCAGGCTCTGTCCTTTTGAGCCCACTGGTCACGTGGCAAGGAGTGTCCCTTTGGTGCACTTTTAATAGAAACCACCATGGGTGTCACGTGACGTACCATCGGGCCTATCGCTCAACCTCACGTCATGGGAGACATGTCTACCTTATTGTTTTGCAAATTAAACAAGGGCAATTTTTGTGAATGGTAATATTTTAGGGAATGAAAATGAAATTTTATTCCCCATCATTCACTTGTTCACCATTGAAATCTAAAGTTCTAGTTGTTTTGTTACCATTTTAATTATTGATGACCATCCGTAAATGGTTTTAGTAACGAAAAAAACTTACAATTTTAGTTAAGGATGACTATCATCAGTAAATGGTTTATAGTTTAAAAAAACAAAAAAAATTGTCTACGTTAATTTGTATGAATTATGGTCTAAGATGTAGTTGATTAAAAAAAAACTATTCATCAACAAAATTTTCCTGAAAATTAAAAGCTGCTAAAATTAATCGCGACAACTGATTTCGATTTATTTTGTTTCTTTTGACATTTGCTACTTTTTCAAAATTTGTCAATATAATTAACATGTTGTGAGGATAAAAAATCAAAATCATGAGGGTTTGAGTGGAACACGCCATCAACACCAAGTGGGCAACAAGTTGTTCACAAGATCTGAATCCGTCCACGTCAGGCTGTACGGAGTTGGGTCCCTTTCAGGTGGACTAGGGCTAATGCGAATCTCACCTTTTGATACCATCTAATATTTTTGGTCAAGCATGTTTATGTAAATAAATCTTGTGTTCCGTAATTAAATTTGTTAAACCTATATTATTAAAATAGAAACACAAAGGAATCTGACTAATTTTCATGTGTTATATACACTTATACTCCCTTTGTCCAAAAATGTAAACAGTTTGGGAAAAAAATTGTTCTAAAATATAATGAATTATGCTCTAAGATGTCCATAGTTGATTAAAAAAAAACTATTCATCAACAAAATTTTCTTGAAAATTAAAAGCTGCTAAAATTAATCGCGACAATTGATTTCGATTTATTTTGTTTCTTTTGACACTTGCTACTTTTTCAAAATTTGTCAATATAATTAACGTGTTGTGTGGATAAAAAAAATCAAAATCATGAGGGTTTGAGTGGAACACGCCATCAACACCAAGCGGCCAACAAGTTGTTCACAAGATCTGAATCCGTCCACATTAGGCTGTACGGAGTTGGGTCCCTTTCAGGTGGACTAGGCCTAATGCGAATCTCACCTTTTGATACCATCTAATATTTTTGGTCAAGCATGTTTCTGTAAATAAATCTTGTGTTCCGTAATTAAATTTGTTAAGCCTATATTATTAAAATAGAAACACAAAGGAATCTGACTAATTTCCATGTGTTATATACACTTATACTCCCTTTGTCCCAAAATGTAAACAGTTTGGGAAAAAAATTGTTCTAAAATATAATAATTTTTCTATAATAAACTTTATATTTTATGGGATACTATATGGCCAATTATCTTCTACAATTTTTTTAAGATCGGTCAGATTATATTTAATTTATATATGAAAATCATTTTCTTATTTTTTTTTTTTACTTTTTGCTAAAACAGCTTACATATTGGGACAGAGTGAGAGGCATTTTATTTTGGGTTAATTTGTTTAATAATCATACTGGAAAAAGAATTAAGAATATAGACATAACAAATGTTTGGCTATAGTACATAATATTTTTTGCTAAATTCTTACCAAAATTAACCCTCAAGCAAAACTATACTATTTTATTTTTTTAACAAAAAAAACATATTGGGACAGAGTGAGTATTACAGTACTTGGGAATGATCTGCGCGAAATTTAACGTTGTTATTACTGACATGGTTATAATTTTTTTTGAGTATATCAAATTTTGTTTTTGAAAAGTGTTTATACAATAATTAAATAATATTAGGAGGAGGACATAATTTTCGTTTTGTCCTGTCTCGTCCCATTCTATTCCGTCTTGTTTCGTTTCATCCCATCTCGTTCCGTTTGGTTCCAATCTATCCTATTCCATCCCTTCCCATCTCCTTCTGTCATGTGCCCTCTCATTATGTTCTGTTTCGCCCCATCCTATTTTGTTCTTCATGTCCTTTTCCGTTTGGTCCCGTTTCATCTCGTCATGTTTCGTTCCGTCTCGTCTTGTCTCGTCCCATTTCATCCTTTTCCATTCTGTCCCACCTTGTTTTGTCCAATCAGTCCTATTATGGTCAGTCTTGTTTTGTTCCGTTATGTCTAGTCTCATCCCATCATGTTACTTCCAAACATGTTCTGTTTGGCTCCGTCGCATGTCCCGTTCCATTATGTCCCGTCCTAACCTATCATATCCTGTCTCGTTCCATCCCATTCCATTCCATTATGTCTTGTTCAATTCCGTACCATTATTATCTTGATTTCAGGCCCCCTAAACCCTAAACCTTTTTTTTTTTGAAAAATGTAAGCTATAGAATAATCACTAAGGAGATCGTTATTTAATTGGTTATTTTAATGTATTTAATTGTATTTTATA